AAAATGTTATTTAGTTTAAATATTTCTTAATTTGGTTAATAAATAAAATATTTTGATTATGATTTTAATTTAATACAAAACGTAAAATATTTGATCAAATGTCCAATCATTCTGTTATTTTGTCAAGTCCTATTGCAAATTATCCTGCTGATATATTTATTTTATTTAATATTTCGTTAACTATTAACTTTATTAAATGCAAATTATACAAAAATTCAGAAATATTGATGGTTTTGTCTAATTTTCTTTCGTTGCCTGGAGTAATTGCGTTAAATCTGAATTATGTAGTTGATTCGTAAAATGCGATTATTAGCGAACATCTGTAAAAACAACAAATCGTATACAAGAAGACCCTTTGGAAGGCCGCCAAAAAGGTGGAAAGATAATGTACAGTCAACAACGACTGAAACAGAATAAGAGGCAGGCAAACAGGAGTAATCCTAGTCGCAGGAAGAAGACGAACAGAAACACCATTACTAATATTGATTACGCTGAGTAATACTGCTGAATATTTTTAGTGTTTAGTAGTTAACAATGTTCGATATAATTGTCTACCCAGGATTAATGTTTTCCATACTAATAATTATACTGAACGATTGAAGCAGGGTATGGGTCGCTTGGGCCACCCCCGTCCACTCCCACTCTGACGTCACAAGATGGCCGCTGACAGCTGTCAAACGTGAAGATAGTGTCAATTTCTGGATGGATTTTATCGGATCTGGGTGCCTTCCCAGACTAAATTTCTGATATTGATGAAATCATTTTTTCTTTAGTAAACTCGTCAGAGTATTCAGATGTAGCCGGCATGCAGACTTTAGTATTTTTACTTCTTGTTTTACTTTGGTGATGTCACGATCTCTAGGTCCTCTTGAGGTCGCTACAAGGTGGAAGGCCACTCTGTTGGAGCTATTGGTACTTTGTAGCTATTGAATTCTGCAAACTTTATTTACTTAATTTTTCTCATGTGGACTTTCTTTTATAAAAGTTCGCAATCAAAGAACATTACAAATTATAAAGTGTACTTCCATATGTTGGGAAATCCTAACCTCTGTTAAATACCATCAATATTAATAGACTTGCAAATTCATTTAAAAAAGACATTGCAATCCGTTTAAGTCATCGCCCAATATAACTGTCATCTGTATCTATCTATCTATAGCCCAAAATCTATTCATGTGTTGAATATAGGCATCTCCCATTTGTCTCCATTTCATCTGTATATTAAATGGTAATTAATAGTTTTCCATTAAGTTTTACAACATATTCCAAGTTGTGCAGAGCACGTTTAAAGATTCTATCTGAATAGATTAAACAACAGTAGGGACAGCACAAAACCCTGCCTGACTCCCTTTAGAATTTTACATTCTTCTGTCGACTTTCCATTAATACGAATGGTCGCTGATTGAAGCCAATATATTTTTTCAATGACCCCACGTCGCTGCTCAACTCCTTTATCTCTTAATATTTTATTTAACTTGCCATGATGTATTGTATCGAACGCCTTTTCATAATCAAAAAGAACGGCAAAGACATCTTTACGTTGATCTCGAAATTTCTGTAGAAAAACATTCAGTGCAAAAAGTCCTTATCTACTTCCTATTCCAACTATAAATCCAATCTACGTTTCATCTTTTGATCTTCACATTTATTCCTTATTGTAGTGTGGATTCAGGTGGATGTGTGATATATAGATTTAGAGAGGTAGCCTTTTATCCTATTCCACTGCGACCTATTCAGATCTATTTTGGTCCTCTAGTCATAGATAACATTCTCTAGCCTGATCCTTTTTAAAAAGTCTAATAGCTTCTGAGAGCCTTCCATTTAGCTATTTGTCGGTGGATTTTCTTCTCCTAATGCAAAGAATCGCACATTTGCCAGACTGTCACACTGACATAAAATGTGCTCTGCTGTTTCTTCTTCGAGGTGACAGAATCTGCACAGGTCATCATCTGATAATCCCATCAGCTTTAAGTGCCTATTCACCTTACACTGCCGTGTTAGAAGACCTACTATGGCTTTGACTGCTTTCCTGTCTTTGCTTATGAGGTCTGCCGTAAATTTTTGTAGACCTGAATTTACCTCTGGTAAATTCCTCCACCATTCCAGAGATTTGTAAGCTACCCACTTCCTTGTAGCCGTTACTACGATCTCCTACTAGCTTAGAGGGTACACACACAATCCCATACTAGCTTAGAATTGACCTCTACAGAATTGAGTGCCTTAAGCGCTCCTTGACTATCTGTGAGAATGGCAACTGAACGGAACGTTCTTTCCTGCCTTTTTATTTCTTCAACGCAATGATGGATTGCTGTTATTTCCTCCTGACAAACTGTCACATCCTTAGATAAACTACACGAAAATGTATCCCTTGATTGTCCCTACTATGCCGGCTCCCATACTCTCCGATGTTTTTGAGCCATCCGTGTACCAGGTAGTAGCAGCTTGTATGGGTACACCTTCATTCCCTGCCTGGTATCTTATTTGTGAACTTACTGTTAACGCTATATCTCGTAGCTGTTGCATCAATAGGTTGCCCCATCACAATATCGGTTTTTAGCTCCTCGATTAGCTTTCTGTTGTCAGCGCCACGCATTTGGCTTATATGTCGCCGACTATGGATTAACCTGTACATCACTGATCTTGCTTCACCCTGTATAAAGATATGAAGTGGTGGTAGATTGAGCAGGACTTCCAACACTACTGTAGGAGTTGTTTTTTTTTGGCCCCCGTAATACACAGACATGCTAGCCTTTGTGTATAACCACAGAGTCATTTTGGGGTTAAGTCCCCAATTCTTACATCTGCCCAGGGACATAGTAGCTTTCTTGTGGTTTTCAGAATGTGAGTATTCCATGTAAGCCTATGATCAAAATACACCCCAAGGTATTTTGTTTCTTTGCTGGTTTTAGGCCTTATAGTGCTGTTTTTTAGCGAAGTTGTCGATTTGTGTTGTGTTTTCTAAGCATTGACTATCAGTCTCTCTTGTTTCCAGCATTTTCTCAAACACCACCTGGGCAAACCTGCCCCTGACAAAGATTGCCATATCGTCAGCATATCCTAGGATCTGAGGAGATCAGATGTGGATGTGTGATTCATAAGAACTATTTTAAGTCTAGTAAAAACAAGAAAAACTCATGGGAAATATGAAGACTTACTTTACATTTTTTAATTAAATATAATTGGTGTTATTACGTAAATCTATATTGTTTATATAAATTAAAAACATACTATACAAGTCATGTTTATAATGTTTCCTTATTTGTATCTGTTTTAAAACTTATACATTAATTTTATTATATTTGATTAATAGTAAAAGGGGGTTTCCCCTTTTATTATTGTGTTAATAAAATAAAAACTCTTATCTTATATATCATAGGTCTCAATAATTAATCAATTGCACAATTTTTAATGTGACAGCCGTTCACTATTTGGCTAGACATGCGTTTATCGAAAAATAATTTAATCAATTTAAAAATAAAATCATCGTTCACATTCAAAAACGTAATAACTGATTAGTAGGTCAAGTAATAACCGATTAAGTCAACAAATTTTTCTAATGGAAAATTACAAAAAGGTGGTTATTAATTAAGAGAATCTCCGACTGTTATAGATATAAAGTATAAAATTGAAAGAAAAGGTTTGACAGCCTTAAAAATTAAATAACTTATTTACAAATAGTTCAGTCGGTTGGTTGGTTGTAGTGAGTAGGATCTTATAATTTTTGTAGATATGCCTCTGGAAAGTTGTTTATAATGATAATTTGAATATACTCCAGCTAGAAACATCTTGGAAAATTGCTTATGGTAAATCTGAGAACTCTTTACAGTCACTGAAGATTTCATATGTAAAATTTAGCAACCAAAGATACATATTGTAAAATTTGCTGTTAAATAAAATTTGCAATTTTTGTAATAAACGTCTTACAAAATATATATATTGTTCAGTATTTGCAACCAAAAATTTTTACCATGAAAGTTACTCAAGAAGAGTTTGTGTTATTGTGGATAAGTTGGTAAAATATTCAGCATATTCAGCAAAGTGAGGTTATGAATAAACAAATAAATCTAAGAATTCTAAAGAACTCAAAGCAGGATTTATCTGACAAATTTAGTGAATAATCTAATGAAAAAGAGATGCAAGAGAAAATCATACATCTACGAAATGAAAACAGCCATCTTAGAAACAAAGTTAAAAGTTTAGAAGAACGAATAAACGCAATAGAAAAAGTGAAATATCACGTTGAATTGAAATTTCAGGTGATAATATTAGTGACTCATAACACCCAAAATTAGTTTAAATTGAAATCACAATGTCTGCAATATAAAAGGTGGTGATTTAGATAAGTATTACTATCACTAGATAAAGATTGTGTGAAGAAATAGGTTTGGACAAGAAATGGTAAAGTATACATAAAAAAAAAGATGATCTGCCTATTTATTTATCCAGTGAAGTCATTTGAATGAAAACGTACTGCTCAACATTAAGAAAATGTCTGGGAAATAAACTTCTCTATTGTTTGTGTAAATGCACAATGAATAAATACCATGGTGGCAAGTGTAGAAATTGTTCTGAACTATGTCAAGCCTGATATCCTGGTTATATCGGCAACATGGCTTCAATTTGATGAGGAGCAGTTTTGGAAACACCCGACGGAAATTAAGATAAGGATGAAGAAGACCAGATCAGCTTTCATCAAAATGAAAAAAATCTTTGATAGTCACAACATAAAATTGGAAATAAGTTAGTTTACTCGGTTCTTCTATATGGAGTAGATTCTTGACTTTACCTCAAACTTCACAAGCAATTGAAATGTGGTGCTGTAGACGCATGATTTCCTGGATAGGACAAATCATGACCATAAAACGTCACAAACTGAAATACATGAGTCATATAATAATGCATAATGAACAACGATATGACCTACTTCGGACTATACTTCAAGGTAAGGTGCATGGCAAGAGGTCCAGGAAGAAGAAAAATATCCTGGTTGGATAACCTAGGAAAATGGTTTAACTTGACTACTACCGGACTTTTTAGTGCAACAGTCAATAAAGTCAAATATAAATATACTGTGCGGTTTATCAGACAAAGTGAAGGGGTCATCTTTATTAACCTTTTTTTCTTTGTCTGTCTTTTTGTACGGAGGTGGGAGAATTGGAATGGTTATACGTATAGACATATATAAAATTGACATTATGACGAGAGAGAGGGTAAAATAAAATAACGAGCTAGTGAGAGAAAGATATGCAAAGAAAGTCTATGGTGCAACATCCGTAACGGATAAATGTAAGTAACAGTTTTATACTTTTTGTTAGATTAGAAAATGGTAATTATATATTAAGTGCAACTTACATATTTCCTTACTATGATTTTGATGACTTTCTTAGGAATAGATAATACAGACACCATAAATCGGTCAATGTAAGTGTTTGATATTGGTTGATCTAAATGTGGACTACCTGCACAACGATCAAACTAAACAAATCCTACAAAATGCAATCACATCCAATGAATTCTTCAGTAACACCAACTTCTAGTAGTCTTAATTAATTATAATCTTAGCAGCAACATTTATGAACTGAAAAATTTACAGTTCTGTAAACTTAAAACAACGATCTCCCCAACATTGTATGTTCCCAAAGAAACTTCGAAGAATTAGGTTAGGGAAAAAATCCAAACAGATTATGAGATAAAGTCATTAGATCTTAGAAAATTTGTATAATATTAAACAGCAAAATATCGATTCAAACCCAAAACTGCTCCTAGGTTCCTAATTCAGTTGTAGACAATGAATAAAGAAGATATATTTTAATTATCAAAGACAATCAGTTCCCTAATAGCCGTTATTTATTTTAATTATATAAAGGCCCAAAAAGTGTTTATATCAACTATTCAAACAAGGAATATTTATAATTAGGAACAACTAACATCACAGTAACAAAAAATAGAAAGTATTATGTCTATTAAAATCACAAAACATAAACACAATACTAAGATAACTTTTAACAGGACTTTGGAATCCAATTAACTAATTGCTTTACCAATATAGGTCCAAACTTAATTCAACGCTGCCCACAGTAACCTTTACTGGGTACACAGTGCCAATAATTTCCAGTTTAAACCCCTAACAGCCAAGGAAATAAATTATATAAGTAATCCAAATTGTGAGGATGGTAAAAGTAATGAAAAAGATAAAACACACACACATATGCTAAAAGAATTCAGTCCAGATCATTCCAAATTGTTAGTGTTCGTATTAATCTTTCAATAAGTTATTACCAGCCATTTTACTCGCGTCCATTTTTGTCGTAAATATATTTTCAGGATTAAAGGTTGAAAAACAGAGGACTTTACGTTGATTTTTCATATTTTGTTTTTTCAGCTGAGGCATATTTAAATTCTAGTTATAAACAACAGTCCGGAGATATTTCTAAAAAATCCAAGGTCCGGTTCACTAGTTGCAACCGTAAACAGATTCTGACTGGACTAAAACTCCCTTTCTAGAAAATATTTAGTTGCTTTTTATAGAAAGGATTAATGGGAGTGGAATTAGCCGTAGGTTTTAACAGCGGTTTGGAAGGTTTTCTAGAAGCATCATAAGGTATAGCGGGAGAGCTTTTTACATTTGCAATATGTTCATACACTTCTTGTGATTTGTTCAGGCTAGTATTAATTTTTACTTTTTTAGCACTGCCCGTTTTTGCGAACGGATTACTGACTAATCGAGAATCTAAACTTAACCTAGATTTTCCCCTAATTTTCTCTAAGGTTGTGTTAATGAGTTCGTGCACGGTTTGGTCCTTAAATTTCTTCTGCTTCTTCAGTTTGCCGACGTACTTTTTCGAAGGAATGCATATTTCGTATTCGCCCTCTTGTAATGGTTCGTCCCATTCGGTTTTTGGAAAAAGTTCCTTTTTTTCTGGAGTCGATTCGAAGAGTCTCACTGGAGTCAATCCTGCGGGAATACAGGAATGGGGCGGTACATTAAAAAAGTTTATAAAACCCATATGAAATAATAAAGGCATTCAAGTAATAATGCAATAATTCTTCAAATATATTATACATACATATGTTATGAATTAATGTCATGCATGTGTTATCTAAATCAGTACAGATTATTTTTGTAACAGTCATATTAAGCCTTGATAACTGACGTTGTTCTTATTAAATCTGAGTTTTCAGGTTTATTTTAATCTGTTAAAAAAGACATACACTGCTCATTAAATAAAACTACTATGTCAACGTCGCCGTCCCGACGCGTTATGATATCGTAAGAAAACGTATGCAGACAAAAAATTACAAAAAAATCATCAACCATACAGAGATTAATACCGAAAACTACATTTTTGTCCTAAGCTACTACTAAGCGCGCGCGTGTGTATCTGTCTATGTCTGTCTATCTGTCTGTATGTATGTCCTGCCTGTCTGTCTATAAGTCTGTATTTCTGTCCTCTCTGTTTGTCTGTCTTGTCCTGTCAGTCTGTATGCGTCTCTCTGTTCTGTCTATCTGACTCGTCCTGTCTGTATGTTTGTGGGTGAGGTGTGTGTGTGTGTATTTTTTTTCTAAAATCGTGAATTTCTGTACTTTGTAATTTTTATTTTACATTTTTAATCTGGTTAATTTTGATTTCTTAATACTGCTAAGTTTGTCAAGGCGAAGTAAAAGACGAGGCCTTCCAAGTCGATAGCAAGCAAAATCCTCGTTTAGATAATAAAATTCCACGTCTAAGAATATACAAATGTAGACCAATAAGACTTGCAACATGGAATATAAGAAGCTTGTGCCAGCTAGGAAAATTAGGCAATTTAGTATAAGAAATGACAAGAATGGAAATAAATATACTGGGCATAAGTAACATACAATGGCCAGACAGAGGCAAACTTATAACCAAAAACGGCATGATGTATTATGCTGGAAACAACGATCTGGCTCATCGCTATGGAGTCGCAATCTTGTTAGACACATAAACGAATAAATCAGTTATAAACTTCACTGCTTACTTAGAGAGAGTGATAATGGTTCAGCTGAAGACAAACATACAACAAGTTAACTTAATTCAAGTATACGCACCAACAGCGCATAAGGATGAAGAGGAGATAGAACATTTTTACATGGAGTTAGACACAATTTTAAGATCTATTAAAAAATAAGACACTACAATAGAAATGGGGGACTTTAATGCTAAAGTCGGGAGAGGAAAAGTAGGCGAAAATTTTGGGAATTTGGACTAGGTGACAGAAACGAGAGAGGGGATAGACTTGTGCATTTTTGTCAAAATGAACATTTTGCAATAATGAACGCGATGTCTGGCAAAAACCGAGGTTTTGCCAGACAGTCTAGAAGCACTGCAACACTTAGTAAATATATTACATCAAGTCAGTATAAAATATGGACTACAAATGAACGTTAAGAAAACCAAGTGCATAATTATTTCTAAGCAACATACAGTAGGGAGGCTAGATATCGAGGGAATACAAATATCTGGGAACCTGGGTAAATGAAAATAATGACTGATGTAGATAAATAAGGACACGCATTTAAATTGCAAGACAAGCATTTATAACAATGAAAACAATGTTTGTTAATCGAGACCTTCCTCTGGAGCTACAGATAAGAGCCTTAAGATGCTACGTGTTCTCGACTTTGTTGTATGGAATGGAAAGCTGGACACTAAAAGTGGATAATATAAAAAAGTTAGAATCATTTGAGATGTGGTGCTCTAGAAGGATTTTGAAAATATCATGAACCCAACGAGTTACAAATGCAGAAGTGTTAAGAAGGCTACAAAGCTGGAATAATTAGGCCATATTACCAGAGGTGCGAAATATGAGATATTAAGGCTCATAATGTAAAGTAAAATTGAAGGGTAAAAGATCCACAGGTAGACGAAGAATTTCCTGGCTAAGAAATCTAAGAGAGTGGTATAGTTGCAACTCGGTAGATCTTTTCAGAGCAGCCGCCAATATGATACAGATAGCTGTGATGATAGCCAACCTCCGATGGGAGAAGGAACTACAACAAGAAGAACTAAGTTTGTATTTTTATTACTTATGAGATAACATCAATTAATGCAATTAGCATTAAAAATGGAGACGAAAATACTTAGATATTAGAAAACGAATTAGAGTGAAAAGACGTTATCGGGAACATAACAAAAAAATATATCAAAGAGCGTAACCCTTTCACGATCGGTGTTTTGTAATAAAACACTATATTCTGGATTTGTAGGTAGTGGTCTGGAATTGATTATTTCTGACATTTTGCCTACAACAGCAAAACACTTTAGCAAAGGCAATGCAGTAGAGGACGTAGACGTAACCTTCATCACTCTTATCATCCTTTGATGATCTTCCTTGAGTATATGTGCTATTAATGACACCTTTACGGTGAGAAAACTTAACCTACAGAAACAAAGTACATTCATTGTGCTTTTTTCTTATTTTGACTGTGTCGTGGGGAAGAAAATATGACACCGAACTACTTTTTTAAAAACAAAACAAATACGAAACTGATGACATTTAACATACAGTAAGGGAACTCTTTACACTGGAGTAACTAGAAAACATTTAATTGGCAAAGCTTTTAAGGCTACAAGGGTAGCAGAATTGCTGACGGCCATTGTACAGACGGCCGTCTTGTAAAGGTCGGTGCATCACGACACTTTACGTCAGCTCGATAGCGGCACCGTTTTTTCTACGAAATGCTTTAAGGTAAAAGGTAACTTTATAAATATTTCAAATGGCTTTAATGAGAATAAATATAAATCCGAAAACTCAAATTTGTCCGTTTTACCATGGTCTACATAACGTCTAAATTTTCAACATATCGATTTGATAAAAACTAACATAATAAAAATAATTGAAAACTAACCCAATTTTGATGATTCTATTATTCCTGGTTCCGACTCTGTAACGATGGATCCGGGAGATTTTTTAGGACTAAATTTTTCTTCGCGGGATATATTGATACTTAGTCCGTTCTTTTTGACATTTTTTGGTGAATTAGAAACTGTCAAAATTTCTGGTTTTACAGGTGACTGCCGTTTTCCTTTAAAAGACGAATTTATTATAAAACCTATCTGCTCGATTAAGTAGATTTTAATAGAGAAATCACACGAGTTTAACGTACTCCCTTTATGAGTTTTGTATAGTTCAGAATGGATTTGGATAGTATAGAACGTTGGGTTATAAGAGTTTTGATAAAGAATAGAGTAAAAGAGCCAACATCAGTGTAAAACACTCTAAATTGATTGACGGATAATGTATTTAATAATTAGATTCGAAAGAAAACTGTTACTCCGATATTTAAGTGGATAATAATTAGAATTAGAATAACAAAAAAAAAAATAGAAAACAAATTAGCCTTATACTACTACTTGTCGTTTTATAACGTTCTCAGCCGATTTCCGACTTCCAATTGGCACTTAGTCCGGTTGTGCCATAGGTCTTCTTCTATGGCCCTTTCTCTCAGTTCTTTATTTATTCCTTCGCTCCAACTTTTTCTCGGTATACCTCGTTTTCTCTTTCCTTCTGGTTGTCATTTTAATATTTCTTTTGGTATTCCTTGTTCATCCATTCTTTGTATGTGTCCGAACCAGATAAGTTGTTTTGTTGTTAGGTCATTTGTGATTGTTCGTTTGATTCCCATTATTTCTCTAATGTTTTTGCTGGTAATCCTTTATCTTCTAGATCTTCCTGCGGCTCTTCTCCAAAAATCCATTTCAGTCGCTTTCAGCGTTGCCAGTGTTCTTTCTTTCAGTAGCCGTACCTCACAGCTGCATAAAGTAATACTTGTTACTATAGTCTAATATATCCTCTTTTTATTTTCTTTGCTGATGGATTGGTCCCATAAAATGCTGTTTAACATTGTGATTTTTGTGTGTATTGTGGCTTTTAGTATTGTGTGGCAGTGTGACCGTTTCGCATTGTGTGTCGTAGTGATGGCCTAACGTATTTCTCTCTCTTACGGCTTTGTCTAATGTTCCATCTTGTGAAATAGTGATACCTAGATATTTGTAGTCACAGCAGTGCTTTATCGTGGTCATCATCAATGGCGCTACAACTTTTCGTGAGTTGCCGTGTTTACTATTGCCTTCCATGTTTGTCGGTCCTGTGCCAGTAATTCCCATTGTCGCACTCCCATTTTCTCTAGATCTCCTTTGACTGCATCTTTCTACCTTTTTCTAGGCCGCCCTACAGACCCTCTTCCATCTGGCCTTTCCCAGAACACATTGTTTATGAGGCGATTGTCGTTACTGCGTATCACTGCTTTATCGTGGTGTTATCGTCTAATATGAGATCTTTTTGTTCTATTCCAATGCACAGGTATTCGGTTTTCTTTTTATTTACTTCTAGATCCCATATATCATACTCTTCAATTAATGTTCGTGCCATATAGTTTAAATCGTAATAATCTTACGCGATTATTACTTGATTGTCTGCAAAGTTGAGCGTATATACCATACTGTTGGTGAGCGGTATCCCCATAGTCCTGCATTTTTGTTTCCATCTTTTTAAAGCACTTTCGAGGTATATTTTAAATAAAGTGGGGAACAGACAACATCCTTGCCTGAATCCTTTTGATGTTATAAATCCTGTTGTTACCTGTGTCCTGCTTTTATTTTTGTTATTGATTGGTTGTCCATCACTTTGACGGCTTTTATTAATTCTATAATAATATTCGTGCTTTCCATTGATTGCTACAGCTTCTTCAGAGGAACGCTGTCGTAGGCTTTCCGTAGGTCGACGAACAACATATGAATCTCTTGATTCCGTGCCATCTTTTTTCTATTATCTGGGTTAAGGAGAAAATGTGGTCAATAGTAGATCGACCCTTACGAAATCCTGCTTGTTCTTCTGCTTCATAATCTAAGTATTCTCTCTCGATTCGGTTCTTTAAAATCTTTACATATATTCGACTTATAGATCCGGTTACAGCTATTCCTCGGTAATTTTCATAATTACTTTTATCAACCTTTTTATGTATAGTACTGACAGTATAGTACTGAGGTATGATATCTTCCATTCCGTAGGCATTCGCTTGTGTGTATGCATTCTTGAAATAGTTATCGAAGACATTCATACAATTTGTTCGTTCCGTACTTAAACAATTCTCCGGGTGTATCCCCTGGTCCGGGAGCTTTGTTCCTCTTTAGAAGTTTACATACATTTTTAATTCCCTCCGCTGTTAATCTTATAATTTGTATAAATCTAAGAATAAACTAAAAAAAAAGAAAATATATTCTAAAAAAAAACAATCTTTATACATAATTCCTGTTACAGATACTGGGGTTCTAGATATATACATTTTATTTATTACTCTATGCCTTTTCCATTTCTAATGGAATCTATATAAATTTATTACTGCTAAACCAATTTATTGTGATTAAAAACATTAACATATGTATTCACTAATGAAAAAAAAATCAAAACTAACCGGATTTTGATGATTCTACTATCACTTGATGCTGCCCTTTAGGACTGGAAACTGGTGACTTCTTAGGACTACTTTTTTCTTTAGTTGTGTTATTAATGTGCAGCTGATCCTTTTTAACATGTTTTGGTGAAGTAGAAACTGGCACACTTACTGATTTTTCTGATGACTGCTGTGCCCCTTTAATAATAAAGCTCTTTTAGATTATGAATATATATATATATATATATATATATATATATATATATATATATATATATATATATCTCATTAATACATGGAAATATTTAAAATATGTAAAAGATTAAGGTTTGTTCTCAAAATATTAAGGTTTAACGCAAATCACTCAACATAAAATGTTACTCCTCACTGAGTTACAGGGCATTTTAAGAACTATTTAAGAAATTTAAGACCCATTTGTACCCTTAGTAAGGTAAACCCGAGGAAATGTGATTGTGGGGCAAGTGTGACTATACTATATAAAATTTTCTACAATTCAGGGAAGCCAGCGGCATCTTGTGAGTAGAAACAGCGATCTATGCAAATACGCAGTTTGTAGAAAACTAGTAATTTGATATTTGACCGTTGGCGTATGTTAGTACGAATGAACTGGTTGATATTAGTATGCAGACTTTGTTTAAAAATTTTGTGAGAAGCGAGTATTAGGTGGTAAGTAAATATTTTATGGTATGCAGGATTGTTTAACAACTGTTAGTATAACTGTTGTATTGTTTGTGATAAAAAAATTGCCAATTTTAATTTTTAACTGAATTATGACTTGGGCCACACTTACCTCGTTTATATTGCATACTGGGGTAAATGTGACCACGTGTACTGGGGCAACTGTGAACTTGCAAAACTATCTTTTAATTTTTAATTCTAGATTGAATATGGTGAGCTATAAACGGAAGTCGGATCGAGCAACCAAATATACCCAAGATGATTTAAATCACGCAGTGTCAGAGATAAAAAGAGGGGTTTGTTTGATATACCGGGCACATAAATTGTATATTTCTAAAACAACGTTATTCTACCATGTGATTGGTGCTCGAGGAGTTAAAAGCAAATCGCAAGGGAGGATTTCAGCGATTCCACTCCAAGATGAGACTAGATTGGCCCAAGGACTAAAAACTATGGAGGAGTGGAGATTTATAATATCCAGATTGGAACTACTAGAGATTGTTCGCGAATTTGTTACCAAAAATGACATAAAAACTCCATTTAAGGGTAACACTCCTGGGAATGAGTGGTTCGGGAGTTTTAAAAGATGTCACCAACTTAGCATGAAAAAACCCCAAGCCGTGGAGTACTCAAGAAAAAAAAATGACAGATCCTTTCATCATATAGGACAAGCTGCAACTCGTATGGAATATGGACGAAACTTCAATTTCTCACGACCTCAAAAAAACCAAAGTCGTGGGAGCTGAAGGTAAACAAAGTTCCAGAACTACTTCCGGTCCAGGAAGAGGAAACACCACAGTTCTTTCAGCAGTGTCAGCATCAGAGAGGAAGGCACCATCACTAATCGTATTCACGGGAAAAAATATTTGGAATTCCTGGCTACCAGATAACAAGAACTCATTTCCGGGAACTGCTTATGCAGCTAGTCCCAATGGATGGATGGAGAGTGACATATTTTTTAATTATTAAAAAAAAACGTTTACTCCCGCATTAGGAGAAAATAGGACGGTACTGTTGAGTGTTCATATATGACGATCATAGTACCCATATTAGTATTGAACTAGTTGAAATAGTACGACAGAATTATATCACAATCATCAAACTTCCTCCTCTTACCAGCCACCTTGTGCAGCCTTTGGATTTAGCCGTATTTAAGTATCTAAAAGACGCTTGGGAACAACAACTCATAACCTGGCAGAGACATAATACTGGCCTTAAAATTAAAAAAAAAGAGTTTTCTCTGACGACAGGCACTACATGGAAAAACGTAAGCGTAGAAATTTTCAAAAACGAGTTTAGAAAAGCTGGTATATATTCATTTAAACGTCATGTCATACCAGAGGAAAAGTACCACCCTGAAAGCCTAAAAAGATGGAAAGAACAAAAGAGTTTAGAAGGTCAAAACACTGTTAAACAGACTAAACACTGTTAAGCAAAGTCCTTCGGACTCAAAAGAAAAAAAGTAGCTGCAGGTGCAGAAGTCTGAATAAACTTACAGAAGACAATAGAATGAAGAATGTAAAAGAAATAGAAAAACAAACAAATGAAGAAGAACGCAGAACGAAAAAAGAAGCAAAAATTCAAAAATCGAAGAGGATTAAGAAACGAGAAGAAACTTTTAGTAGCTCAGAATCGGAGGATTTGAAGAAAACGAGCAAATAATTGAGAAAGAAGTGTCAACAGTTGGAGAATTGGGAAAGACCCAAATCGCGCTGGATATTTGGGTTGTTGTAGAGTACACATTTAAAAAGCATATTAAACATGTTATTGGAAGAATTGACAACAAGACTGAAAATTAATAGAAAATTTGCTTTTTAAGATTTAAAAAGAGTAGTAACACCTAAAGACAGAAGGGATCATTTTATTTTTGACGTAAATTTTATCGGGTTAAACCTTTAAATCTTAAAAAGTTTGTAACTTGCTGAAAAATAAATAAATTAAAATTTTTCAAGCACTAAAAAATTTGTTTTTTCTTGCACTTTTAAATTATTTACACTTGCCCCAAAAATAACACACGCTGTTGAAAGCTTAAGCCCATTGTAACACTTAGCTCAAATTGACGGGAAAGTGTGACCCATGGATACTTAACTATGTAGTAAAGTCCGTAAGCATTCTAGGAAAAAAATAAAATGACTTAAAACATCTCCTCAATCATGCAAAATATGTCATAAAAATCATCTAACTGAAAACTAGTTCACACTTCGACGGGTTCACCTTATTTGACATATTCTTAAATTATGTTAAATAAACGTTTCTGGCTAGTACCATAGGCGTACGACAGGGGAAAGTGAATGGATGACCCTTCCCAAAGATGCCTTCGAAAAAGATGGCATCTCTTGGGGTAAAATGTTCCAGAAGTAAACTGAGCCTCAGTTCAGATTTCTGGGTGGGGACTTTTGGGGGAACACCATCACAGGTTAGAAAAATTAGCATAGGATCTTGAAATGCTGGAAGTCATACAGGTAAGAGTGTGGAATTATCAGATACGCTTAAAAGAAGAAGAGTAAAATTGACAGACTATTAAAAAGCTAGTATGTTTACTTACCAGGTTTTAAAGAACTTTCAACTTCGTACACTACCCAAGTACCAGAACTTCTCTCAATTATACATTCTATATTAGAACCCAATTTTCCATTCAATTTCTTGTTTAATTTATTATTTTTCTTATTTTTCAGCTTATCCTTTGCTTTGACTATACTACTAGAACTAGGTTGTTTATTTTCAATTACATCTAATGATTTTTTATTTTTCTTTGTTTTAGGAACTGCTGTTGAAATTGATATACTTTCGGATTTATTTTTTTCTGATTTTGATTTATTCTCTTTACTATTCTGACTTTTATTCTCTACAATTTTTTTCGAAGTATTTTCATTCCCTCTTCTATTGTTCTTTGTAGATTCTTGTAAATGTTTTTCTTTATTTTTCTTCTTTAATTTCTTCGCAACTGGATTTTCCCCATTTGCGAGGTCTTGATTTTTTCCAGGTTTGGTTTTGTTCTTTTCAGGTTTGATACTTTCTCTTTGTTGATTTTCTAACTTTATCCGCTTCTTTTCGACACCATGTTTTTCATTATTTTCTTTATCACGTTTTCGTTTTCTATCTTTTCCTAACAGTTTCTGTTCAAATTTAATTAGTTTATTAGCAGCTTTTCGAATGTTTATGGCTTCATTTTTATCTTTCACGTCTATTTTATGAATTCCCAATGGATACACTCCGTTTGATAGTTTGTTGAATCTAAAAAATGTTTGTTATTTAGCATATTCTGACAAAAATCAACATCACTCAACTAACTTTCACAAAATAATTAAGTAATAAGCGCCTGATATATTTTAAATCATTTGTCAATAATGAGACACTTTCTAGGCTTATAAGATATAGCTTGGAATTATTGATATACATAATTTAGGACAATGCGGCAATGGTCGAAGTTATTGTGGTTCTCTATCCAAATCCCCAGGAGTTAGATAGGGGAACAGGAGTTAGAATGTCATAAACATAAAATTGTGCATTACACTACACTACACAAGGACAAACAGTTTAAAATTTTTAAAATAGGCGAAGCTACATTATGGTCGGCATCAGGAGAGAGAATCTCAGAGCATCAGATGAACAAACTGACGATTTTCTGTAATTCTTTAATTTAGTTTTAGCATTCAAATTTATTTTTTATTACTACTTACTGTTGAATCAATGCCGATATTGCTTGTCTCGAATTAGTTGAACTCTTTTTGTCAAATTTGCATTCCGATAATGCGTTTGCCACATCCTTAGCTCGAAATCGAAGCTGAGGAATTTCAACATCTACTCGTCCAGCTCGTGGGTCCATAGGTTTTACTTTTCTATTTTTTGTCGCTTCTTTAACTTCATCATCTTCGGAACTTTCATCTTCGTCATCTGCGTCTACTTTAACTTTTTGCATTGAATTTATACTACCCGGAAAACCTTGCTAGAATTTTAAAATTACGTTAAAGTATACATATCAATAAATTTATCAAGTACTGGTTAGAATGTCACAGTGGACATGCCCGTCAAAAGTCCCCCTTTGAAGAAACCCAAAAGGCCTTAAATAAGCTGAAAAATCACAAAGCGCCGGGTACGGGGTGGAGAGCATTACATCGCCAAATACACCAGCTAATAACGCACATATGGTTACATACGCACATAAGAATACCAGCACGATGGAAGGAAAACATAATAGTGCCCATCCACAAAAAAGGGGACAAAACAAAATGCGCGAATTATAGAGGAATCTCACTCCTAAACACGGCATATAAAACCCTCTCAAACATCATTCTTAGTAGACTAATCCCTTATCCTGAAAATGTCCTAGGCGAATATCAAGCCGGGTTTAGGGCAAACAGATCAACAATAGATCAACTATTCACGCTGAGACAACTTCTAGACAAGGGATGGGAGTATAACAGACTTATACACAATATTTTCATAGACTTTCGACAGGCATATGATAGCGTAGAAAGAAGCCAAGTAGAATGCCATGGCGGAATTCTCAATACCAAAGAAACTCATTCGGATGGAGGGTGGAATATCTAAAGTATGTGTAAATAATAAACTGTCTGGCAGGTTTGAAATCAACAGTGGACTTAAACAGGATGATGCGTTATTTCCACTACTTTTTAACCTTGTATTAGAGAAAGCCATAAATGGCTTTACTGCGAGAACGATTCAGTGAACAAATTATTTCACGCTTTGGACCAGTGAATTGGCTGTCTAGATCCTGTGACGTCTCACCTCTAGACTCTTTCGTTTGGGGCTGCCTAAAGTCCAAAAGTCTACATGAATAAACCAGATATGATTGAGGCATTGGAGGCCAATATTACTCGAGTCATCAAGAATTGGAACTTCAGAATGAACCAACTTAATCTTAGTCATGGTCAACATTTAAAAGAAATTATCTTTAAGAAGTAATTGTAAAGAATGGTTCTTTTGTATGATAATAAATATTTTCAAATAAAATTTATTTTTTTTTCATTGTTTTTTTCTTGTTGTAAAAAGTACCTCTAAATGAATCACCCTTTACAATCATTTTGATATATTATCTTCTTTTTGTAATAATTTCAAATATTTTATGTCGTATGGCCAGGTCGAAGGGTTTTTTGTGTTGTTCTTCTCCTGTAATGGCTTCTATAATATTTTTAATTTAGTATTAATAATTGAACCGATGAGAATGAAAGAATGAAAGTGACATAAGTCATAAAATGTGGGAAAATAAGTAAGTCCATTTTTCAAATCCTCTGAGATAGTACTATTCAGAATGTAAGTGGCTTTAGTCATTAGTACATGAATTCTCCACTAAAAGCAGGACTAGTTTTCTTTCTCTACAAAATATTTGTTTTGTTGAGAATGAAAGTGAAGGCAGTCGCTGTTTTTTGTTATATAAACACCAGTTAAGTGTAGTTTCGATCATTAATGACTGAAAAACTTAATATTATTTTATTCAGCGAAAAAAGAGATATGAGTTAAGTGTTTTACCACACAGAGTGAAAGTGGCTTAAGTCAATCTAGCTCAATTTTTTGTATTGTATATGAAAGTTGTAGAATTCATATTTCTAGATTAGATTTACCACCTAAACATAAACATTTTTCAATTATTTGTATTTCAAAGACATCCCTTAAATTGACTTACGTCACTTTCATCGGCTCAATTATGGAGTATTATTTAAACATTACTCTTAATAGTAAATATTACCTGCTTCCAAGCCTCGTATTTTTCTTGATAGTCCATACCGACATCTGACTGTCTCATCAAATAATTAAAAATGAATTTTTTTATATATCCTATTTCTCTTCCATCGTCAGATTTTACCAAACGTTGAATGAATGGTTGTAAAAAGGTAACAACACTTTTGGATTGGATTTTTCCTTCTGATACCTAAACAAAAGAAACTTGTATAAGCATACTATATAATTTATAAAGTATAAAACCAAGGTAATTATTACTACCAAAAAAGAACAAACATCAAAATTATCACATATATCACAGAAAACATCAGAAATGTAAGGATTCTTATATAGTTGAGTAATATTAAAAAAATCAAGACTAGCATTTTAAAAAAAATTTCACTTTTTTTGGTAAAATTGATCCTTTTCATATTGTAACTATAAATTACTGTACACACAATATTTTCTGACTAATGCTATTGCAAACAATTGTTGGAATAAACAAATTGAATAACTTTAAAACCAATTGATGAATCAATTTAAAATTTTAAGGGTTTGTTAAGTACCAAAAAACCAAACTTTAAAACTAGATGCAGTATTAAAGGTTCAGGTTTTTACAGGACATATAAATAATTATCGATCTTGACTTATTTTGCAGTTTTCAGAGCAACAAAATAATTCTACAACTTTTGAATACATAATTTTGAAGTTTTTTTAAATGTTTTAAAAGACAAAATTTTTTAATTTCATTTCAAACACTTACCTTTTTAATGATAGATAAAAATTCAAATAAAATTTCATTTTTTACACTTAATTTTTAATAAGGAAAAAGCTTGTTAGATAACTAGATTATTCAAAAATCCCAAGAAAAACTTCTGATAATGATAAAAAATATTGGGGAAAATTAGTTCAGAATGAGGAAGTGAATTGTAGTTTATACAGTTTTTTAATACATTAAAATACTTGTGTTAAATGTATTGCTGGAAATAAACCACAATTTTCCAGATCGAAAGCTATTTCGAAAGTGTAATTTTTACAAGAGATAAAAAAGATAAGATAATCTATAATGATTGCTGAGACTATTTAATTAGTTTTACTAATAGAGAAAAGTCACTAATTCACTAAAGAGTGATCATAATACACTATAAAAAATGTTGAAAACTTGTGTTTTACAACACATTTTTAAATAAATGTATGTGTTTGTCCAAATTTGTTTTTCAAAACAAATTTGGTCCTAGTAGAGTTAAAAATATATATAGAATGTTCTAGTAATTAGCAATGAAAGTGTTTTATATTGTAATGGGAGGAAAGAATATTGTAATATTCTCATACTTATTATCATTCTTATCCATATTAAATAACATAGCTACAGTGATTCTGGTAGATATTTTTAACACAGGAACACAGTTAGTATTCTTACCTTGGCCAACTCCTCTAAAAAGATTTCATTAAAATGCATAAAAAGTCCGACTGGAGTTTTAATTTCTTTGTTTAATACAGTTTCTGAGATCACTTCATTAAAACTTTTAATGTCGTTTTCTACAAACGAATATTTCTTGAGCACTTGGAAAGCTTCTCTTAATAACCTTCTTATAAGCTGCAAAAATCAATGTTTTATTAATATATATATAATATATATTGGTATATTATTAAAAAAATATAGATAAAACAAAAGATACCAATTAAAAATAATAAGCATGAACACCTGTACTTAATATAAAAAAGGAGATATTCTCTTTCTCATAAAATTAATTCCCTTCAGAAAAGTCTTGCTTAACACCAAGTCTTCTTTGGTCTGCATGTACCATATCTGGTTTTACCGTTTTCTTATATAACATTTGTGTAATCTAATGTACCACATAGTTTCTTTCATCTCCTTCCCTCTTGTTTAACTGTATTACACAATTTTCATTGATTTATTATACCAATCAAGGTACAAAATTGATGAGTCTGTGTTTCCAACAAAAAATCCCAATCCACCTGCTCCAGAAGAATTGTTAAAAATTATTTTTTGCAACTGCAAAAAAGGTGCGGCGCTTCTTGCAGGTGTCGAAGAGTAGGGTCATTTTGCAATGTAGTCTGCGGATCATGCAGTAGGGACAATTGCAAAATAGCCTTCCAATTAATAAAAAAAGAGAAATTATTGAAGAGAGCTCTGATGAAGAGTGAAAAATTAAGAATTAAAGTACTATTAATATTTGATTCATTTATGAAACATTACTTAAATAAAAAATGAATGAACTTTTCATATAATTTAATATTTATTTTAAAACATTTTCCTCTTCACTAACAAATTAAATTTTTATAAGTCACATAAGCACTGAAACAATTGTTCAGGAAATGTGGAAAGAATAATATTAATAAAGTTTGGAATATATTTATAAAGTTTATCATAACCAATACAAAAGTTTCTAAATGATTAAAGCTATTAAACGTAATAAAAAAACATTTTCCATTATTTTTATGACAAGGGGTAGTTTTTAAGGGTGCAAAATTATGCAATAAATAAATAAATACTTTAATACTCAGTAAATGAGATTTCAATTCAGTAATGTATTATTCAAATAATTAAAATTTCTTTAAAGTGTTTTTTAAGGGTTGAAATTTCACAGTCAATTAAAAATTATATCATAAATATTAAAGAAACTATTTGGATAATATTAATATGCAATTTGATATTTCAGAAATATAAAAAATAATTCTTTCATGTTTTCGATTTAAGGGATAGTTGCTAGGAGGGTTGAAAAATTAATTAAAATCATAAATTATGCTTATAAATGTTGCAAAATATTTATTTTATTTAATTAATCGAGATTACTTATGCCAGAATGCCTAAATCTGCATTTTTTACCATTTTTAACAAAGGGGTTGGATTTCACTCCTAAAATGCAAAAAGCGCAAGTTAAGCATATGCCACTTTTGAAGTTGAGGGTAAAATATACTCAATCCCAAATTTTCATGCAAATCAATGGAGGTTCACCAAAATTGGAGGTAATAGTTGATTTTTACCTTCATTCACTGTACTAAAAATATGTTATCTGATCCAACATTTTTGCATTTCTTTATTTTTGTAACATTGGATAAAATTTTGTAGTGCTTCAGCAATTCTCTAGTTTATTTTTTCACCATTGCCATTATTATTATCTGTTGTTACTAGTTTTTTTTTGCCAAACCCTATGTTTAATAAACTGACTAAGTATTTACTACAAGTATACTAAATTTTAAATAAATTCTACATGCTATATTTTACATTCATCATGTAAATTTGATTACACTTCTACTTAGTTTTTGATATGCTAATGTTGCTTCTTTTTTAGCAATCTTTTGCCAATTTTAAACATTGACTTTGTTGTTTCAACTCATTTTCTACTTTTGTACTGAAAGCACATCCTTTTTCACCTTTGAAATGAGTTATTAATTTTACACAACTGTTCATATTTATCAATAATATTTAATTCTAATAATTGTAATTTGGCTTTGCCAGTTATGCATAAATAGATTCTTATAATCTGTTTCATTATTACATTCTTGTTTATGTGGTTGGTATTACTACTTATGTCTGACATATATACATTCCAGGAAAGAAATACAATGTCCTACTGGCCTAAATAAGTAGGAAATTTGATATGCTTGGATAGACATTCACTACTAAGAACCACACATCAATTTGCAGGAGTGACAGGTTTACTGTCCCTACAATAACAAACAGGGTACCTAAAGACAAATGGCACATATCAAATGTTTGTGCCTAACATAAAAATCATCCTAGTGTAAACCTACATATTGGTAGAGCTGGAATCTTTTTTTCAGCAACTAATGAAACACATACGGACGATTTTCACATTTGGTCCCATTGAAGATAGCCTCAAGTTGGCTGTCAATTAAGTTTCACAGAACGAAATATTGCGTTTGCAGTGTTGCCAAGTTATTATAATGTATATGTTATATGCTTCAAATATAAAGAGATAAAGCTTTTAAAAGGTACATTTTTATCATATTATTTTATGGATTCTGCAATTTTATACCTTATATAAAATATTAATGAAGTAATATTTGTTTCGTTTGATATTAAATGTAACAAATTATCAGAAAATTTTTTTAGCAATTGCCCTTTGGTAGGTTAGCAGATAGATTTGGCAATAGAGTCAGAACCCTCAAACCACCAGCTGCCAGATTGCAACAAATGCCTTTTAAATTTTATTATTTATACTGACATTTTACTATTTACTGTTAAAAACTGTTTTAAAACTATTTGCTTTTTCTTTTTTTCGTAATCGTTAAATATTAGTTTTTAAATATCTTATTGCTTTTAATTGCGTATGTTTCGTTTGTAATGTAAATTTCAACACTGGGAAACACCAATATTTCATTCTGTCAAACCCATTTGAAGCTATCTTCAATGGGACCAAATGTGAAAATCGTGAATTAAAATTTAGAGACATACATCTCTGTTCACTGAAAATTATGAACTCTGATTGCACAGGGTGTGACTAGTTGGAAGAGTGTGCTAAATTTAAGAAATAAGTTTCATCTGACACCTTGAATCCTTCTAGGTTTTGGCAGCTTTTCATGGCTTTTAAGAGCCTTATCCTTTTCCTTAACGTTATTTCCTGCTAATATTTGAGCTAATTTTATCTGTCATGAGATTATACTTTTGGATCTTATTGTCTACTAGGTTTGATAATTATTTGTTGTTTATTTTTTTATTTTTAATGTGTATCTCAAAGCTCAAATGCTACAATATAATAATGTGGTCTGTTAGATATAATAAAACACAAATTGTACACTTGTGCCGGTTAATAACTTACCATAAGAAATTTATCTAATCTCAACTGATCTATTCCAGTCCATTCTTGGCTAACTATAAAGAGCCCAGCCTTAAAGAACAAGAGAGATGTAGAAAAATCAGCAAAATGGACTAACTTTGATATTCTCTCCGCACACTCTTCCTATAACAAAATAAAACCGTTTTATGTCCATTAAATTAATACTATTCAAATGTATACTTTTATTTTCTATTTATATGCATTAGTAAACCAACCTGAACCAATGGTTTGTCCGACATCCACATGCAGTAAAATAGTCCTTTCCAAATTCTTTGAAAATCTTCCTCCGTGAAGGCTAAAATCAAAACAGTTACAAATCTTGCATAACATATAATAATTGTAACATCAAAGGGCAAATAAGAAAAATGTGGTCTACTAACGCATTGTATCTGATCTTTTTTGGAGAAGTTTACCAAGGCTTTTAAGAGCCTTATCCCTAGCCTTCGGGTCATTTCCTGCTAATATTCGAGCTAATTCTACCTCTCGTGCAATTAAAAATACTTTTGGGTCTTGTTTTCTGTCAGGTTTCATAATTTTTGTATTCAACTTTTAACTTCTACCTAAACCATGTATATTGTTAAATTAGGTGTTCGTTCGTTAGGCTATGTCGTACGTTCTTTTGAGAGATGTTTTGACAGATTTACAAATGTTCATATGATATTTGATCACATTAAGTTAATCGGATCAAAATTGAGTGAATGAGTTTTGTATAACGAACGACCATATTATACTTCTATAAAGGTTATGTTTCCACATTTTCTTCTTTTTTCAGAGCTTTGCGGATATTTTCTTAAGTATTTTATTAAAATTTGATTCACAAGTCTATTGGAATTGAATTTTAAATAAATTAAAAAATTGAAGTATAAAGTCAAAACTTCTATAGGCAGAAATGGAAAAAATGCAGACACTTTTAAATGAGAAAAGTATTATTTCGATATCAAGTAACGTAATGAAAGTTGCGTACATTTGGCGCAAAGCACTGAAAATTTGATTACACAAAATGAATAGCTTATTTATTTATTTATTTACATGCTTCGTTTTCCATAAATAATTAAGTTGCATTACTAAAAAAGTAAAATAAATAAATTGTTAACATAATATTAATATTAATATTATTAAGCTGAAAAACAAAAGAAAGAAAAATTATTAACAATTTATAAGAAAAAGGGTAATTTACAATTTAAGTTATCTTAAATAAACTGAATAAAATAAATACTGATAATAAGACATCATATAAATAAAACTATATTTTTTAAGATTCAGTGGAATTAAATATTTATTCAATAAAAAATATATTGTCCAACTCCATTTATAAGAGTTTTCACTTCTATTGGTACTCCTAGGTTCGCAACATGTTGTATTAATTGACTTATTGTTAAATTCTATTATAATGTAGTAATCATTAATAAAAATTAACACATGTGATTTAACCTTTGGATTTAAATTTTAGTATTTAGTATTACATTTTTTATTCATTTTTGAAACAATATACTGATTAGAAAAAAGCTGCATTTTTCCGCAGCTTATGTTGAGGAAAATATTCCCAATTATGACATATTTTTAAACTTTAAAATATTTACACATTAGGTCCCTATATTTATAAAGAATGAGAGTGAGAAAAATTTAAATATTATATTTAACTTTTATGTGACTCTTACAAGATAACACAATTCATTTATAAGTTAAAAGTGAAGAATAGATTCCAATCAAATTCCTAATAAAAGGGTCATGGATAATATGTAATACATATGATATTATTTTTTAAATAAAGACGTTATTATTTAATATACATTTTATATTCCAATTCCTCACAGTAAACTGTAATAGATATTGAACTGAAAAAATACAAACACGTGTGTTTTATTCTAATAATTATTTAAACAAAAAATTCAATTTTAAATTTTTAATACAATCTCAATTATATCTATTGTAGAACGGAAGTCAACAAATCTACACAATTAATGAAGTTATATAATTAGACGATTTACCTAAAGTTTATATAATTCCTAAATTTTTCAAGGTACTTTGCATGATTTAAAAATTATGGCCCATTTTTGTGTAAAATTTTCTCAAGGTCACGCACATGATGAGTAATGTAAATATGACGTCACGATCATTCCAAAATGGCTGAATGTTAGTATTCGAGGTTGTAGGATGGCATTTTTTATACTTTTTTAATAAGAATCTAAATTAAAATACTACCGTCTGGTAACAAACAAAAATTAAGAGCAGGTGAGTCACATTGATTTGTTGTGTATTAAGTGACAGTTGTCGATAATTTGTCGCAAAATTATATCAATCAAAAATTAATTGGGAGTCTATTTTTAATTTTATCCAATAAATAGTTAAGTAGATAGTTTATTTTTTATGTGTATGATCAAATTATTCTATTCTAGCAACCAAAAATAACAATTGCACATAAAAAATAAGTCTGCTTCTAGACTGCTTTCTAAAAATAACACAAACTTTTCTCTTTTTACTGTGTGACATATTTCAGAAAATAAGCTATTTTTACTCTGTAGACTGTGTATTCTTCCAATAAAATTCACGTTTTTATTCCTAACAATAATATTGAATTTCACTTCATGATTTAACAGCTCAAACTTTATTTTGAGACACCCTACAAGGTATATTCTTGGTCTATAGTTAATTTGTGCCTGCAATACTAACAATAGATTCTTGTTAAGTTTTGATTAATCCGTGCAACAAATTGAATAATCCTAAGAAGAAGAGAAAAATGAATACTAATTTTTGCTTAGTTTGTTATGAATAGTGAGTGGTGTCTGTGACAAATTAAAAATTGGCCTCATATTTTTGGAATATCAATTTGTTGAATGGTAAGTTTTTTCAGATTTGAATTAATCTATAACCTGATACTTGGAAGGGCATAAGTCATTAAGAATATCAAGTAGAAAAGAAAAAACAGTTTATAATTTATTAATTATAAATAATATATAAAATCTATCCAAACCATTCGGGTTACTTGTAAAGTAAAATATTTTGAAATGGAAGAAGAAATTGTAACATACATTTGTAACCATCTAGTCATTTTTTTAAATTCAGGTTTATAGATTTTATTTTTCCCAATTTCATTACCTTTAATATACAAGCATGGAAAAAAATCTGACTATAGGGCATTAAGACAACGCAACAAACAGAAGAAACATATAGACTTGTATATTCCAGAGAATAACATGTAACCACATGTTTGTGGTAGACCCGTAAGCACTAGAGACATTCTTGTCTGTACATTGTTGCTGAAAGAAAGTTTATTTTTTAGATGGTTTGGAGAAATATTTCAACGATGTGATTACAAGATTTAACTGCAGTTGTGATTTTCATATCTTTGATCATGATATAAGGAAACAAGGTATGCTCACTAGGTGGACTCGTTTTTGCACATTTCTGCGCCGACCAAAATCCACCATCTTTTCAATATGTCACATGCGTGTAGGGATGGTGACCTGATCCCGTACCAGTTACTTTGGAACATGTATTTTATTTATACTTGTGGAACTGATCCCTAACACCAATATGTTATAATAAACGAGTACGGGTTTCATTGCATTTGTCCTTAATTTTTATCGTGCATTTCTTAACGTTTACAAAGCTTTAGATAAATATCAACAGATGACAATTGGCGTGAAGTAGACAAAACTATCGCCATTTTTTATGAACTTTTTATACAATCTCTGAATAACAGTAATTTAAGTATTTTAAGTTAAACAGTCATTTTAATAACTATAAAGAAATCTAACAAAATACAAATAATGTTGTCGTTATGTTTAGATATCTATTAAACGAATGATAACAAACTGATTTCCAAACCAGTATTTTTTAACAGGTAGGTATATTTGTTTACGCGTATCAGTTTGACCTGATCCACAAAAATACTTGGATCAACCACCTCTACACGCTTGACGTCTGCTTTGTTTTGTACTTTTTAACCTTACTTTGCAATGTATTGGAATTTAAAAGTAAATTTGTTTCGATTTTTTAAAAATTATTTTAGCAAGAGTCTGTTTAGATCATTTTAAATCTGAATTAATTGGATTAATGTATAATATTAATTTTATTTTATTTAATTTAACTACGATATTTTTTATCAATTTTGTACATATTTGAATTGCCGCCTTCAAAATGGCGGATTTTGGTCGTAAACGCGATTGGCTGTTCAAAATAGATGCGCGTGAGCATACCATGTTTCCTTATATCATGTCTTTGATTAAATCAACAGTTTCTTTAATCTCAATTCATAAAAAATAACATAATAAATTCTTAATGGCGTAAATTAAAACAATTTATTCTAAAAAAATAACAATTTTATAATTTTCATTAAAACTATTTTAAATTAAATTTTCAACAAGTCCACCACATTCAGCCAACATTTCGGGTGTTATGCTTTGAAAGGCCTGAATGATTCTTTGACATAATTCATCTAAATTTCTAACACATTCATGCTCATGTCATTAAATTTGTTGCTTCACATAACCCCAAACGAAAAAGTCCAAAGGTGCAAGATCAGGAAAGCAAGGTGGCATTTTTATGGTACCTTTTGTACTAATAGGCTATCTGGAAACTTTATGTTTAAAAAAGTTAACACCTCCCGTGCATTGTGAGCTGGACAGCCATCTTGCTACAACCAAATGTCATCCATATTAATAGGTAATGCTTAAACTGCCGGAATTATGTGATTTCTCAGGAACTCTAGGTATTTACAACAACACAAAGTGGCCACAATGAAAAAAGGGCCAATTGTGTTGTCACCTAAAATACCAGCCCAGACGTTGACTTTTTGATGGTGTTGTGTTTTGTAAGGAACACAATATGTGCCTATTTTTTGTAGAGTACCGTACAGTAACAGATGGATTGTGATGGCCAGTTAAAGGAAAATTTAAAGACTCATCTCTAGACAAGATTTTTTAATGAAATCTTACAATGAGTCACAATATCATGTCCTCACAAAACAACATCCGTCATTCATAATCAGCAGGAAAAATTTCCTGAGTTTTTAACAATTTGTAGCTATGGTACTCAAAATCAGAAATTCGATCAAACATGGAGCAATCAAGAGCAGCATTTTTGACAATGAGGAAATTTCTGAGTAACCAAATACTCAATCTACAAATCCAATATTGTGTTTATACCAGTTTGTGTATAGATTTAATGAGAAAACGATACATTTTTTTGTTTTTGCGTTCTTTTTTACATAGTTTTAACTCTTCATTTGATTCAACAATGTTTAAGTGGCATTGTGCCAATTTAAAAGTGATTTCTTTGTAGCTATTAACTACCACATACTTTAACAAGATGAGATACTAAGAGAATGTACAGTTGGGGAATTAATCCTGTTAAATACTATCAAACTTACTACTTTTTTGAGGAGTTTCAAATTTTGATAGACATATTGATGGTTAAAAGTCAAAACTTCATAAGTCAAAATTTAAAATTTTTTAGGAAAGCCAAAAAACTTATATGTTTAATACATATTTTTTCTTTCTTAGTAATTATTTAATTATTACTTGACAATATATAGTTTTCATGAATCTGGAGTTTTACTAGTACATTTGGTACAATATTTGCAAATTAAATCCTCATAAATCTAAAAATGGCCAGAGGTTTCAACATTTATACATTGATGTATTATAGGCTGTACATTCTTTCTTTGAGCAGTTTTTATTTTTACGATTAGTATGTTGCTAGCCTTGCCAATCACCCTCCACATTCTATCTGGGCTTAAAACCGGCTGTGGTAACCACACAGCTACTCAATCCACCCTAATCACCCCAGGCAGTGTTAAGTCAACTTCTGCACAAATAACGAACTAAGAATAAACAACACATTTTTTAACCACAAAGACCAACACAAATATATATTTAATCACACTTGTGGACAAAGATCTATGATAGATTATGTTATAACCAACAGAGATATACATCTATCAAAAATAATCGACGTAAAATGCCTCAACTCAGCATATGCAGGTAGCAACCATAGCGTAGTATTATTTAAAATAAGAATAATCCTGAAATACCTCCACCCAAAAGAGCGGCGTCAATACAAACAAAAATCAAAGTCGAAGGACAAAATACAGAATCCACTGAATACTTATACAGGAAAAGAATATCAGAGACGATCGCTGGGAATGAAATATTAGAAAACAATAACATCGAGTAAAGCTGGAAAAAATTCAAAAATAATATAATTAACGCAGCAACAGAATCACTTGGAGAGAGGAAAGTAATGAACACTAACATATCAAAAAAGAAAACACCATGGTTTAAAATGGAAGTGAAGACAAAATGTGAAGAAAAGAAGAAAGCCTTTTTACAATACAGAACACAACAGACATACAACCACTATGACCTAATCAGAAATGAAACGAATAATTTAGTTAGACAAATAAAAAAGAACACTGGCAGAGTTTCTCAAAACAGATGGAACACGACTTCTACGGAACATAAAAAGAAATATGGAGAATGATCAGAGGACAAAGAAAAGAGATGAGCGAACTAATAAAAACCAAACACATTCAGAAGGACACATGGGTAGACTACGTTCGACCCCTATTTGCTAAAGGTGATGATAATAAACCACCAACACCAGAGGTGACGACAAACGAAGAAATAAATATCGAGGAGGAAGAGGTAAAGGAAGCATTAAGGAAATTTAAAAATAGAAAATCACCAGAAGAGGACAGAATACCGAATGAACTCCTAAAGTATGGAGAACCAGATCTAACCAAACAACTATTAAAACTAATCCAAAAAATAATAGAACAAAACAAAATTCCTCAAGAATGGAGATCAAACATCCTAATACCTCTCTTCAAAAAGGATGACAAATCGGACCCGGAATATTTGAGAGGATAGGTGAGAGATCATGACTGTTACGATAAATAAAACCAAGATTACGAAATCCTGTTTCCTTGATTTTAAGAAAATGGCTAACTGTCAATGCACAATCCAATAATACACCCAAATCTCTAACCTCAGTAACTGAATCCAAGAGTACATCATTAAGAACATATATCTATTAGCTATTAGATTATTTATATGACCAAATGAAATACAAGAACATTTAGTTGGATTTAAGCTTAAACCATTTTGTTTTGACCATAAACATATATTATTTATATCATCTTGCAATATATCTCTATCCGATTTAATCATATATCATCATCATATAACGGGGGTCCTACGGCGATTGCCGCTTCCCGCATTTCAGCCTCT